TTTGAAATCCGAAAACTTGTGAGACGATTAGAAATTGAAAAGACACCTGTGTTGAGTCAATGTCAGGACGACGCATTTCGGGTTGACGTGCAGGTACGTGGATGAGCTCATTGAAATCGCGAGGTTGATTCAGTGAGCAAACGCGAGTGTCTCGGCGCCCCTGCATGAAATGCCTATTCGTGAAAACTGATTGTCAAACCAGCGTGAAAGTAATGAGTAATGGGTAACATATACGAGTCAAGTGTCTGCCGAAATGCACTAGCAGACGTGTTGCGAATAGAACGAAAGCGAGACGGTGGTTGTCGAGAGACAGTAGCGGAAGTGACGCATGCACCGTAATTTCGGTTACCTGACGCTGAATTGAAATTCCGTTAACCGTGGGTTTTGTGTTCATGTAATAATCCTTTAGCAAGTGTTGTAATTGTATTGTAATGTCAGTATTTAGTTGTGCTTCGGTGCATGGCTGGAGAAGACAACAGTAAAACTCAGGAGAAACAGTCGATTTAAGTTTTAATCCTAAATTTGGGCAAGGCATAAGAGGTCCTAACTACTTCGCAAAATTGTGACTTTGACACCAACATAATTGTCACTATCATTATAATACATATGCGTGAAATGAATTTTTCGACTGTATCTGCGCGTTTCTAGGGTGAACGGTAGCCGGCGTTCAGAATTTGGCTTTACGCGTTAACATCGCATCGAAACGTACGTGTCGCGACCTGATTGGTGCTGCATTTGCGACTTACAAAAACACCTCTGCCGCAAAAAGCTGCCTGTATATGTTGAAAGGTCCAGGTTGTGTTCTGTTTTTGCACTGAATCACCACCTTTGAAAAGTACTATTGCTAACGGCCGCTCTCGAGACGAAGTGAAGTGCATTTGGCTGCCTCCAGTTTGTTGCTAATTCAATGCACCAAGTCACGGACACGCACCTCGATGAATGTCAGAGGGTGACTCGTGGGTTTCACCTGGGTGTTCTGGTCCATTTGCCTAATCCTCTTAAGTCGGTATTGATAAACGCCATTATGCAGATCGGACACTACCATGAGTCTACAAATTTTTGATCTTGTGGCATTAACTACACATGCGTTTTAGTCAAAGCCTTTTTTGCATTGGCACTATATTTTGGATTTTGTAGTTATAAGTGTTGAAAGGAGTAAAGTCTGCTGCTCTGCATTCCGAATTTGCCTTGGTTGTGGCCAATTGCATTTATTCTGTGCTGGCGACAGACACCACGCATAATTGATTTAATGCAGACGCATCATGTTTGCCCCTGCTTTGTCGTCGGCGTCTGTTTTTGCTTGGACACAGTGCGGGTGTTATGCGTCTGAATTTCCCTAATTTTACAAAACTGTGTTTTGCGTACAGGAATGTCAACCTGGATATTAACTAAAGAATCTTTCCCAGCTTATAACTAGCTCACTGCCCGAGGTTATGCTGAGCATCGGAATAGTGGGAAATTTGATATGGGGATGCAATTGGATGTCGAGGGAGTTTAATGTCGTTTTAGTGTCACCAGAAAACCCGGTTGAGTTGTTCCCTTTCGGTGTACCAAGCCCGCAGGGCAATGTCGTAAAGTTCATTCTACCGTGCATTGTCACGATTGCAAGTTCCTAATTGGAGGCACTAAAACGGTCGTGCCACAATTAAGCCATCTTTTCAGCTATAACATGATTTATATCGATATCACAATTCGAATATAATAAAAGCTGTCTTGCTATTTCATTGACTCCACCAACCAATCTGCTAGTTTCTTGTTCCTGTTGCTGCGCCTTGATACTCATCGTTTCCAGCTATCGCCGCTTTCTTCATGTAGCGTGGATGTTATCGTAATTCTGCGCTAGTTACAGTCAATTTGAATTATTACTTTCCTTGATGCAAGCCTGGATAATAAAAGGCTTGTCACGTATGCCCTGAGATGCCCTTGTGCCCCAACTTGTGTGGACATTGATTTCGCAAACTACAACGTACTTACTCATTGTTGTTCTTGCTTGCAACTGCGCAATTGAGCAAGTGTACTACATGCGGTCGCCTTGATTGCAAATTTCGTATTTCTCAGGCCCTCTCCTCTCCATACTGATAACCACGAGGAAACTTGTACTGGCTATGGGGTTATGTATTTGTTGTGTTCACAATTTCTCTGTCTAGACTCGCAGTGTCTGCGACTGTGTCAACCTTTTAGCCTTAGCATTTTCTATTTTTGCAGTAATGTCAATGAATACCCATCAGCATTACTGATAACCGTGCTGTTTATGCTTACTTGGGGTGCATTATTGTGTGTTTTAGTATTTTGGCGATGTGTACCCTCGGGACTGTTGCCGGCGATCGATAACCGAACCAGGGAATCTATGAAGTACCCCAAATCGGTCAAGCCACCACCAAGGTACTTCATGATTTCTTGTGATTCCTACCTGGTCGTGGGCCACCCCTCTTAGAAATTTTTGAATTACCAACCAAATATCTGTTATTTTAAAATCTGTCAAGTATTTAGTCATAGAGTGATGTGCTTCCGACCTCGTATGTAATTAAACACAGCCTCGACTTTGTCATTGTGGATCTTGACGTTGCTAAACTGTTTAGTATCAAGTCGCTTACACAAAGCTCCTGTTCTGCGCTAAATTAATGCAGTCTGTCGCCAAACAAACAATAATTTAGCGGCTTAATAATCTAGTACGCCTGGAGTGCTGTGTGGGTTTTTGTTGTCATGTGATTTTTGTTTCCACTGTCTCGCTTTTTGTCCGCCAAAGTTCGGTGACTCGGTAATGGAATGCCTGAGTGCGTCATATCTTATCATCTAGCAACTGCAACCTAATGGAAATGGTGTCAGTGTAACTAACAGCTTTCTCACTTATTTATGGGCTACAACAATGTCTATTCGGTTTTCTTTATTCTTGCGCATTTTTACCCAGCAACCCCTCAACTGGCCGTGGGTAAGAGTTTGACACCGTGTCGAAAAATTCGATTTTGCGTTCCCTTTTTCCCCTCTTGTTTGTTTCCATGTCGTTCGCTTACCGGAAGTCCAAGCCACTTTATTTCGGCTCTAGTAATTGCACAATTTATCAATAAATCACACGGTGTTGGTGTGAAAGCAGTCGTCCATATCTGTCGTATTTTCAAACAACGCCTAGTAATAAATTATCCCCTTTTGTGTATGCTGGTGGTGAACGGACTTACCACGCCCGCTGACAGAAACCCTGCTGTGGGTTACCAGTGGAATATTTGCTTACCGTACACCCAAATCAGATGTATTGTCTACTAAAGATTTACTTTCACAACTGGTGCCTCAATTCTCGAAATCTGGCACACAGCGGCCGTATTAGGCGCCAGTGTTTGAAATCCAACTGGTATCTAAACTGGAGCCTTCGTTTCGCGCAGGCGTCCACTTTCTTTTCCAAATATTGCTTACAGAAGTGCAAGAAGCCAATAACTGCAACTTGAAACAGTCCTTTAACTGTCCTGTCTTCTCTGAGATGGCAGCTGTCGCAAGCGCACACTTTTGTTAATTGGTTTTTGGTCCCTACTGTTGCAAATTTGTGTTTCGACGGTTCCTTTATGGCCCCAGTATTTGTGAAAATGTCTTTACTCTGACTTGTTATCCTTCCAGCTACCCGTCGATAGTTCTTGGTGCTCGAACAATTGTCACTAAGATGTTGGAGGATCTTATTAGAACGTGGAAGGTTATCTTAGTGTAAGTTATTGTTTCCTTTTTGGTTTCCCACTAGTTCGATAAAGCAAAAACGCAGTCCTGATGTGCCTTGATCGTTTTGTTTTGGTCGTGTGTGACTTCAAAATCAAACGGACTTCTTGCTGAGGCAGTTAACGGCCTCTTTTTTGACACCTACTTTATAATTGGGAGACGTCATCTTTTTGTCGGCGGCTTGAGCTTCGCCGAAAACGTTCTAATGTTTTTTTTGGCCATGTAGTCCGCACTCGCTATTCGGCAGTGTCTTGCCATGGCACCACATTGGCGGCCGCATTAACGCACACCTTTAGGCTTTGAAAAATGCCTAAACGTAAGGCGGGTCATTAGCATGCACTGAACACCTCTTAGCGACCTTGTCTCGACGGCGAGTGAGCGATCACGTGAATAGAACCTAAGTATGCGAGCCTGAAATGTCACTATTTGGCGCTCTACTAGACATCCGACATCATAAATTAAGCCGCCTTGCTATTCCTCGGTTTCATAAATTCCCGTTACTATATTTGTAATGGCGGTAGGACATCCCAACTCTTATTTGACCACTTTCTGGTTTATCTGGTGAATCAGCTGATCCGATTAAATGGCGTAGGCAACAGCGCTTGGTTTATGCATTGTCTCTGTTTTGGTTACCGTCTACATTCTACCGGTTGGCCATTCCCGGCCTTACCGTGCAAACCTAAACACCACTGGTTTTTGCATTTGCCTGATGCCGCCTGTAAACGCGATGCGCAACATAACATTCTACTCCACTCTCCGTATGCAATTACATCTATCATTTACAACCCCCTTCTCTGTCTTCGAATGCGAAATGTTAATAGTGAAGTGATTTGCTGTGCCTTATCTTTGTGTGCCTCGCCACTTACTTACGTAGAATACTCGTCAACGTTTTCATTTGGCTTCGTACTAGAGGCCAGTTGTGGTGGTGAACGGCAGGGTGCTCAAACATCCATCCGCAACGCCGCGTGTAAGACCAGCCTTGTCACATGGTCTTTGTGGCAAGCCAGTGCAGTGGTTGAAGTTTTTCCCTGCAATTTCTCACTGCCCTGCATGGGTTGTCAACTAGGGGCCCGCGCACTTGGTCGCTAGATTTCACAATCCGTCTTTGTTTTTTTCTTTTTCCTCCACCAGATGCATCATTCTGGCGGCCTTCATCTCGTTTCTTTGGATCCTCCTGATGAGACTCTGTACTCGTGCTATGGTCTATTTCACTCTCTTGATCTTCGTTGGTATTTTTGGTGCCGGTAAGGCTAACTACTTTTAACTCGATGCACCCGCCCTTTTGCGTGTCTTTAAACGACCAGCAACCTAGTGGTTTATGCAACGTGCCAATGCGCCTTGCACGAGGTTTGGTTGAAGTAATTCCATAGTCTGACCCCAGTTTTAACTCTAGACGCATCTTTTATATCATTCTTGAACTTCTGTATTGTATGCTTGTGGGCTTCAATAGTTTTTCCATGTCAAGTCTTGTGTTGCACAGGCCAAAGACTTGTTCTGGTAAGTAGACGTACGTGGGCCTTAGAAACTAGACTGCTTTACCAATGCAACATGAGCCCATTTTGCACATATGTTGGGTGAGATCCTCAGCATGGGTTTTTGCCCGAATCGTACACACATCCCACGATCGAAGTTCAGCTATGTTGCGCCATAACTTTCTCGGAAATCCAATAATGTGTCTATCCATGCGCCGGGAACATGTCGCCAGTAACGATTAATACTTGAGGTGGGTATACTAATTGCGCATTTGCCTTTTGTGCGGAAGTCAAATGCATCAAAAATAGTGCAGATCTTATATTTAATTAAAACGAATACACTGTCGTTCCTTTTTCACAAAGCACGTCTGTAACTAATGACCGACTTTTTATCGACGCCTTCGGTTGTCCTAACAAAACTCCCAAACCAGTCCTTAGCGTTAAAAGTGGTACTTTTATGTGCCTACGATGAAACTGCTTAAATTACTCAAACCTTGGATCTGCTGAATCTCATAAGTATCGGTCGACAAAGCCAGTGCTCAAAATGTTGCTGGTTTGGCCCCAAACGATTGTGATTGGTGTCTTGGGGGTTTTATCTGAGGTACGAGGCAATTATTTGGAGTATAAAGAAGTTATTTTGTAGTTGCGAATTTATAAATCAATTTACTTGGGGCTACCTTGTGAAATCTGGCGAGGGGAGACTTGGGCCGTTCGAATTTTGGGAGTAAATGGCGTACCTCAGGGTTGTCATTCTCCTTTCTTTCCAACTCCCTTTCACCCACGGTTTTGTGGAAACTGTCACAGCATACATTTAGTCACTGTAAGTGGATGTTGTGCTCAAAATAGCCGTATTTTGTTGCAAAAATGATTATTCCTTACCTGCTTCCTTCGGGCTGAGACCTCTCTTTTAAGTGTATTGTCTTCACTGTGTGGAACCCTTGATGATGGCATCCTTAGAGCCATAATTGGTAATCAGAAATGGCTTTTTGCATCATTTTACCAACCCCTGGCTCTTGTTTGGCTGGTTCTGATGCTACTCTTCATGTTGTTATTTTGGACACAAACCATTGTCTCTAAGAGTGAGCCCCGAGGCAGTTTTTAGCAGGTTCACCTTGTGCTTAACCTCTCACGAAATGTCTGCTGCCTATTTCAGCAACCGGGTTTTGTTTCTGGCGCTACGTGGAAACAAAGAAGCTGTCTGCTGACCCTCCGCCCTTTTACTTCACCATCGACATCACCGTCTACTTCCGTTACGCGACCACGTGGCTCGCTCTTGGTGAGCTTCCTGTCTGCCCCGGCTGGTGATGCCAATAATCTCTTTCTTGTCTAGCATCACGTGCTCTTAATTCAGCATCTGCAGCAGCAATTTTGAGGTCGTGAAGGTCCGAAACCCAAAAAAAAACTTAATGTTCGACACGAGTCTTTTGTGCTTGCAAATGTACCTACTTCGGCGATATTCCGCAACAGCCGCACTGGCATTTGTGGTGTTGGTTGTGTACAGGCCCAGCTGCCTGCTGCTTGAAAAGGGAACCAGTACCCATAGTGTGCCACTTTTTTATTGAGACTCTGCTTTCAAATACGCCATTTTAGGTTGAAGTAGCATAATCCAAGTTTGTCGAAAGTCAGATATCACAAATTGAAATTGCCAACACACAAACACACATGTATTTCCTCTGTTTCAGGAATCATTTCTGCAATTATCCTGCTGCTAGTCTTGGCAATCATCATCTTTCTACGCAAAAGAATCGCCTTGGCACACTTTGTAATTGGTGAAACAAGCAAGTAAGTACCTAAAATGGAGGCAGTAGAAGCAGCACTATGCAGCATTCTCATCTACCTTTGGCTAACATACATCCCTGTTGCCTCTGCTATAAAATGAGATCTCTCGCTCGCCTACTTTTTGTCCTGTTGAATCAACATTTGAACCCCAAATGTTCTCAAATCCACTTCGTTGCATCCTTCACGTTTACGCCTCAAAGTGGTTTGACAGAACCAAATGCAGGCTCTGGTAGATGCACAAATGTGGTGCAACTTTGGCATTTGTAAAGTTAACATTGGAGTTGCCATTCAGTGCGTTTGCCTACGAGTGCAATGGCCAGGTAACAAAGCCCAATGGATCTCGTCACTTTCTTCATCCCTCATTAGGATTTTTTTAAAATTCCAACTCTGATTACAGTTAATAGTTACCCACTCTCTTACTGAGTTATCCACCTCCTCCGGTATATGCTTTTGTAACTTTAATTTCGTTACCAAGCTACGCTCCAAACCTACAGAACTGGTGCCTCTTAGATGGGGAAGGCTATTGAAATGCGAACTTGAGTAATATTTTTTACGACGCTCTTGGACACTTTAACCCTTTTCAACTTACACTAGCTATTCGATATTAATCTTGCTTGGTATTTTGAAGTTTCCCTTATCTGTACCTAATCGCATCATCACCACTGTGGTCTGACCTCTTTGCTTCAACAGCTTTTAAACAATGGTTTACTTGTTGATTATCAGTAGTGTTTGTTTATTTTGTAAATTAGAGCAATTGCAGACCTGCCCATAACTCTTCTCTGGCCAATCTTCCCGTTCATTTTAATCGTCGGCGTAATTGTCCTGTGGTTCTTCGTTGATATGAACCTTCGGTCGATTGCCGTTTCTGAAGGCGTCCTATTTTCGAACTCCGCACCTGAACCGAAAGCCAAATTCTCCAATGAGTGGGTGCGATGGGCCCTAAGTGGCGCGTCAAAGTGCGATCCGACAGTGAGTTGTTAAACATTCGTTAGTAGTAGTTGGGGTTCTTGTGATGAAGCACTCAGTGACACTTTTGAAACCGACTGTCATCCTCATCCAGGGTTTTTTGTCGTTTTGTAGGCCAATACAACTTCGGGCGGCATCTGTCACTTTGTGAGGCAAATCGGACAAGCGTAAGGATTTAGCACATTGACAACACTTGTTTTTCCTTCTGTATGTCCTATTTGCACTTGGCATTTCAAGTGATAATTCCAACAGCCCTTTCAAGTGGTGCCGTGGCGTCGCGTAGTTTTGTGCAATTTCAAATTATCACAAGCGTCTCCTTTGTCTCGACTACAAAGTCACGTGGTTTTTGCCTCGGTCACCACCACCACAGGTACATCCCCTGGCTGCAGGTCTACAATTTTGCCATGTGCCTTTGGCTTGTCAACTACGTCATCGCGTTGGACCAGGCGACACTGGCGGGTGCCTTCGCCTCCTTCTACTTCTCCGACCACCACCGCCGCCACGGCAGCAGCGGCCAGCGTCGTCGCCAGTGGGGCTGCTGCGGCGCCGCCCTCCTCCTCTCCACCTTCTCCACGGCCCTCTTCTACCACACCGGCTCCCTCGCCCTCGGCTCCCTCCTCATCACCCTCTTCTCTCTCATCCGCATGATCCTCCTCCGCCTGCAGCGCAAACTCAAGTTGGCCGAAAACCCCGTGGCCAAGTTCTTTCTGCGTTGCATGTGCTGCTGCTTCTGGTGCCTGGAAAAGTTCCTTCGTTTCCTCAATAAAAACGCCTACATCATTGTATGTCTCATTCTCTCTTGCCTCCTTCGTCTTCTTCCGCTCTTCTGTTTCCGCTTTAGTCACTTACTCAGGGCTAAAGCAGTTTCGCTGCAGCGATTAACTTCGATCTTTCTCTTAAATTTTTATTTCAGTAACTGTAACTTTCTAGCAAGGGAGTGCATCGACATTCGTCATTTTGGTGATCCTGTCAAACTTGTAGCACTCACTAGTTCCGATGCGTACTTGTCATTTCCTTTCTTCGTTCAAGTGCATGTACTGATATTTCACCTTTCTCTAACCCCTCCACCTCCGCCCCCAAGTCAACCGATATTTTCAAAACCATCGAATCTGTCCCTAGTTCCGTTTTTGTCGAGGCGGGGAACCATTCTGAGTGCCTTCAATCGGTGCTCGAATGGGACTGCAGTTAGGAACAGTGATGTTACCTCTTTGGTCAGGACACCACATTCACTGCATGTGGCGGGATACTAGGCGCTTTTTATTCACCCATTCTACTAACGATTGACCTTGGGGAGAATTAGAACTTCTCCCAATTTTGATTTTAAGTGGAGTAGTAGACCTTTTGGTGTTTTTTCTTTACATGGGTTATCGCGTCAGCAGTTTGATTGGTTATCCTTTTAAATGTTGTCTATTTTCTTCCACAGATGGCGATTTATGGTCACGGGTTCTGTCGGTCTGCGAGAGATGCATTCGGACTCATTCTGCGAAATGTCGTGAGGTAAGCACAATGCATTATTGCTGTTGGTTTTTGTTGGCGTTTGGCCCATAGCCGCTAGCGTTGGGATTCGATTCCCGCCAGTTCGAAAAGGTATTCAGTCCTCGCCAGAACCTACCATGTGGAATGTGTCAACACTTGCGTTATGTCCACTACGCGCACAATTCCAACGATAAGTTATTCAACCGCACCTCTTATCTCTTGCAGAGTTTTCGTGGTCGAAAAAACAACAGACTTTATTCTTTTCGTGGGGAAGATAACAGTTTGCGCCTTTTCGTGTAAGTCTTTGCTCATTTTTGCGAAGTTATTTGTTTGAAAACGTCCAATTTTTTTAATATTTCCAAAGAATTTACAAACGAAGCTATTCTGAATAACCTCTTTTGCGCATGCCTTCCAAGTTTAATGTTTTGTATCCTGCGAATTTAAAAGGCCTGAATGAAATTGCTGGTCAATTTCAAGTGCCTTTGTTATCTTTTGGCGGTCCCTAGAGTGTAATTCACCATTAAAGCAATTTGTCTGTGGGCGATTTAAGCAACTGTCGGAGATGTGCCTTGTTTGCCACTTTAATCATGCCCCCGAGCGCCAGGAGACGCTTCCCCTGGCATCCACCGTCACTAACCCACTCCCTCGCCTTTGTTTCTAGCATGTGTCGCGTACGCCTACATGAGCGGCCGTGTCTCCAACTTCCTACTTATCAATTCAGAACAAGGACTGCATTTGAATTATATGATAATACCAATCCTAGTAAGACTTTTTGACCTTGGCTTTCTTTTTTTCCGAATCATTTGCCTTCGTAGTTCCATTTGCTACACTGAATTTAACATCCACCTGTTAGGACCGAAGTCACCCGTGTTAATATGAAATACGTTTGACGGGTGTAAGGCCTTGACTTTTACCTCTCGCCTAGCTTGGAAAGATTTGTGCAAGGGCAATGGTGCTCTCTCAATGATGATTCACGGAAAGCTGTTTAACCATTCTCTGTTTAAGAAAATAGGAAGTTGTCCTGCCAACAATTTTCTCACAATGCCCTTGCTGTTTGTTTGATCTGACTAAAGCCTTGATTCTTCTATTGGTATTTTCTGTTTGCCTTCTTTCACTCTAGTCAGTCGACACAAAAGGCTTTTTTTAGTGTCACACTGAACTGTGATCTTAACTCTTTTTAACTCTGTCCTGTTGAAAAACTTTGACCCATTTTAATCGGCCTCGCGATTGCACTTTCGTCTCTTGATCGTACTGTTAGATCCGAATCTCGTTCCAGTTGTTTTATTTCTCAAATCATAAAGATGTGAACACCGTTATTGAGTGTTCCTCCTCTTCAGCACCTCGTACGTCAATGTGATTACGGTTTTAAGACAGGTCACCGTCTTGTGTTCGCCTTGTTCGAGTAAGGTGTTTTTTTTCTACTTTTCCAGGTTATCGCTCTTGCTTCATACCTGGTGGCTAAGGCCTTCTTCACCGTTTACGAAATCGGCGCGGACACCATCTTCGTGTGTGTTTGTAAGTCGCCTATGCCGTTAAGTTTGCAAACAATAGCTACACGTACACCTCGTTGACCTGCCTTATCCGGTAACCACGTAAATTTCGATGCACTTAAACTGCTGTCATTTATGTTCAAGTGGTCCTGCCGCTTAAACTTCCATTGAATTTAGTGCCTAGACTTGTACGCCTCGTGGTAATGTGCTCGTGATGAGTTGTAGTAACTAATGCTTGTAGTCAGAGGAAACGGTCGGGGTTCTGGGTTTCCCTTTAGAGTCGACGATTATGATTCATGGCCGTTCTAACGTCTAGATATTTCAGTATTTGCGATCCAAATATTTCGTGTCCAAATTAACATTTAGAAACTGCTGTCGTCTTTGTGTAGTGTCATTTGTTGAAATCAATTCCAAATGACGGTATTATATAGATTTATTGTAAAGATTTTAAGCGTGTCGACACCTCTTGAATTCTACAGTTCATGAGTTCTCCTTAAATTACTCACCCTGCACTAACCACTTGACCTTTTTCATTCCACTGGTGTGCAGGCGAAGACTTGGAGCGCAACGATGGCACTCCCGAGAAACCCTACTTTATGGGCCAGTCGATGATGAGAACGTTGAAAAAGCCAGACCCTGACACGACGAATTGAACGGAGTAGACTTCCTGTTTTTTTGCAAACGACGTCCACTTTTTGTGACCCTTAATGAACTTTGCTACGCGTATTATTACACATCGCTAATACATCTAATGCATGCACTCTTGTAACTCCGAATCTTATCGAAAAGGTGTGATAATTGGATACGGGGGTTACCGTTGGGATTTAGGTGTGCCGGGCTCAATCTGCGGTGGCTCGAATTTTTGACCGTGTTACCAAAATACGACGGTTGTCCTCCTTTCATATGGGAATGCTGAATAGGCCCTAACATAGTCGTAGTCCCTACTAGAAATTGCCGTAATCGCCAACCAAAATTCTAGTTTCAAAGCATTTCGTCTAAGATTCAAAACTTCTTATGCTCCGGCTCAAGATACTATGTGTTCCAACTTTTGGTAAATTTGGTTCATATTTTTGTTTGTGGAAGCTTGACCGACCTGGCTTGCCGCCCTCGCCTTTTATTGGTCTGTGTTCCCGATTGCTCTGTAAGCTCACACACAAGAGCACATCGTGCTTATCAAGTGAAAGTTTGTTGTAGCCGTGAACAAGCCGCATTATAATCTTGTCCTTCGTCAACATCCAGAGAACCAGAGAACAAAGAAAGCAACATAGCCAGGTGGATTCGACAAATCAACATGCGGTAAACCTCCTTGGACAAGCTTCCATCCTCTCCCAACTGTTCAGAACTAGCCGTCCGCTATTTTTATTTCCGTTTTGTTGCTATGGCCACCTGCTATGCGGCGATGACCCAGTTTCACAGCATTTGATCATTCACTTAAAGTCAAGACAATAATTAATTTTATTAGGTGGCTAACTTTGTCCGAAATATTTCTGCTACTTCAGGAATATTAGTCAGGTCAACTAAAGCGTGGTTGTTCCTACTTTAGAAGGATAGGCTGGAAGGATTGCTGGGTCGTGATTTTGCATCGCGCAGCGTTTTTTGTTTGGAACCTGAGGTGACGGTCTCTGTGGAATCACATGTCGGAAACAGCAGTCTTCGAAAATCTACCCGCCTCGAGTTCCATAAGTGATTGCACGAATCAGTAATCACTCTGCCAAAATGTTTTATTTAATTTGATCTCGCATACCACAACCAATGGCCTGCTCAAACGTGTCATGCACACTATCTTGGCGTCTTGGACGTCTACCTGAGCCGCCATGTTTCAAAAAATTGGCAGTTTTCGCTGGTTTAGATAAATTAACGACTTTGGTAAAATTTAGGCTTTTCACTGTCATAAATGGAATTTTAATTAACTAAACGCGTTCGAGCGTCACAAAAGGTTGCTTAAACCAATGGCAGCAAACCCTCCGCACACTGGAATGCCTTCTCCGTTTACTCACTTGTGTGTGGGTGCAGAGGCATGTAGAGCTTATAAACGACTCACTTCCACGTTAAGCGTTGCTCACCAACACCGAGTGTGAAGAGAATCACCTGAAGAGCAAGTAAGGACATGAGGCGAATGAAATGGGGCTTTGGCAAATCTTCCGACGAAACAAGTCAGGTAGGAGAGGCATTATTTACATGTTTTAAATACTGATGTCAGTGATTTAAATGAAATGACCTTCATTACGGATAAAACTTTAAGGCTTTTATGTTTGCGATTTCAGAGCAACCAAACACAGTCTTTTGTTTCTGGTTTGTGTATTTGTTAAAGTTTAAAGGAGCAATCTATTTTGACTTTGAATTTGCGTCTTAGTTTTGTTTCAGCCGTTTAATTTGCTGATCGAATTTCGATATAAGCAGTTGAACTTAGTTGCAAATAAATGGTGCGCAGTCAAACTAAAAATTTTTGTCTCCACCAACATAACATTGTCACGGAATAGTTGTAGGCGCTGCATCAATTTTAAAGCTCAAATTTGACGCTAAAAACACAAAAATCTCTGAGCTGGCAGTCACTAAAATTTCAAAAGGTTCCTTAGGCAAAATTACTATATTTCATTTTGAAGCCATCATTTTGAAACTCATTTAATGTTTTCAACATGCAGTCCAAAACAAATTGTCACATCAATGCCGCATTTTACTGTCAACGTACGCACGATGAAGATGTTAGTACATTCCGATTTGTTGAGGTCAAGTCAGGTGACTGGGACAGCTCACCCTGCAACTCGCAAAATTTATTGACTGCTGACAAGCGATGACTTAGCTAACGTATTTAGCTCAGCCTTTTTCCGATTATATTTTGTCAAGAAAACAAAGGGACGTCCCCTGCAAGGAAATTAGTGACGCCCGCCGAATTAGTTACTGGACAGACCGAAAAGCTCATTCAAAAGACTCGTAAATTGTCATTTGGTGGTCAAGTGCTGACATATTTACGATTTTTCACAAACTCTCGGCAAGAAATTTGTGAAGTTCTAAGTGCAAACTTAACAAGCTGTATCCAAAACTGTAATAGAAGGTCTAGATTCAAGGGTCATTTTTAAGAACAAATTCAAATGTATAATCATTACAAAGGGAAAGCCGAGATTTTGGCATTCTTTTCATTTTATGCAAAACTCTTGTCCATTACAGGGTATCCGAAGCAAGATTTAACTAAGACCAATCATCAGGCCTTAACTGTCTTCCAGAAATTCCGTTCGCTAAAATGCTAACTCATTTACACTGAAAGCGTGTGCATGTTAAGCAGATAACAAACATATATTTACCCTACATGTGTTGATCCTGAGTATTGTCTTCTCAACCAGCAAAGCTATAGATATTTGTGTGTCTAAAGTGGAAATACCTCTGTCTAGACACATTCAAGAATAAGTGTATTGAAGTAAAGACAGTTAACTGAACAGTGAATGGATGGCAATAAGAGGTATTTAGGAGCCACGAACGTCGGCGGATTGTTAGCACTAAGCATTCAAATGCATTTACTGGCTCTTTTTGAACGTCAATCTGCCTTAGTTTTCTAACAGCTGTAAAACAAAAAATTGTATAATTTGTTTTGAGTTCTAAACCGCAGCATAATCAGTTTTCCCCAAACACGTGAAATGCTAAAGCCACACACCAGTGTGTTCTTCGTTGCCCTCCTTAAGAAACTCGAAACCGTTTATTATGTTCGCAGCAGATTACCTCAAGTTTGCCTAATCTTATTTGATAGATTTTTACAGCGACAAAAATGTCTCAGAACACAGGGCATTTCAATAGAAACGTGTGGGAAACGTGCTAAAGTAAAAAAGCGAGTCTAGCGTGTCACACGATGTGAGGCTGACAATCACTGATTTTTGTCTTGATTTCAATATTTGTGTCTACAAAAAGGTAATTTCAGCTGATACCAGAACTTCAGCATCGAGCAAGGCAGACAAACCTTCCAATGTGGCCAGTCAATACAAACAACCTGACCAGCTGAGTTTGACGAAAAATGAGCTACAAGCGAAAGAAACCGAAATCAAGGAGTTAAAAAACACCATAAAATGTCTTCTGGACTTGCACGCAGGAATCGGACTCACTTCAAATGTTGTCGGTAAGGTTACTTGTTATCATCTTGTCGAATCGGGATTCGGTAAATATTCCAAGGCCTATGCATTGAAGGGATGATGAAAGTTCTAATTTTATTAGTTAATTAGCGTTGGAAATCTTGATAAGGTGAGGAGAGATTGGCTTATCCCTCATCATCTCGGAAAACAACACATAACAGTGCAAAACTTCTTGGAAGGTTAGGCCCAAACCGAGTTTAGGTCGCTGATGGATATTCAGGAAAAAGCCTTTATATTATTAATGAAATAATGAATAACGCTTGCTTAATGAAGATTTGATTGACGGTAATTTTAGTTAGTGAACTCCGAATGTTTTCTCAGCCGAGTTGGGGCTTGGTTGGCGAGGCTTTCATTGTGAAGCATGGCTCATGGGAATCTTGATGACTGCCATACCCTTTCTGGCCGCATCCTAGGATCAAACCATCAGCATCTGAATCCTTCAAGTTAGGGTGTCATCTTTTTTGAGAAGTATGGTCAAAGTCAACGCCCACATAGCCAAGAGCTGGGTGTTTTAATGCAGAAAGTGCGATGAAATATACTTCCTCTGTTTTCAGTTCGCTACGGCATTCAAGACAAAGCCCACAAGGAATTGGCTCAGGAAACGCAAACGCTTTGCCGTGACCTGGAGGACCTCTGCCAAGTTGTTAGTTCTGACAACGCGAACAAGCACCGACCTCCCACGCCTCCATTAGAGGAGTTGAAGTGCGACATAGGCAACACTTCGACAAGCGAGGCGTTTGCGCGAGGACGTGGCCAGCGCTCGGAGGACCATTCAAAAACTAGCATCGAAAATACCAAGTTGGCCAAAATTCTACGTTGCTGGGAGGAACGGAATAGAGAGGTGCGTTGGATGGGCATATTGACGCACGTTTATCAAAACGCTGGTGTGATTGGTCAGGTTTCACAAAAGATTCTAGTCTGACGCATTATACATTTGTTATCAGTTGGCCAATCACGTTCAAGCTAGTAACCTGTCTAAATTTTGTCGCTGTTTTATAAGTATGTTTTTTTTCGCTGAGAGTAAATTAGAAACAACAAGTTTCGTTCTGAGTTCAATTAACCTTGAAGGTAATCGCTAATTGGACCGAGAGTGCATTACTCACACATACACACACTCTTCTCAAGTGCACTCGAGCTCTGATGAATATTTTTACTATCATGCTCTAATGGTGTTTTATCATGCCTTTTTTTTAAGGCGAGAAATCGACTCTCAAAATGTACATAAAGCTAAGTTCCTTTGCAAATCGCACAATGCGGAATACCCTTCATAGGTTAAGCATTTTCGAGAACATAAACGTTAACGGTGACAACAGCGTAAATTGTACGGAACATTCATTTTGATCTTGGTAGAGTCAATTTGTCTGAAGTCACGTTTCTAGAATGCACATATTTCACTTTTTAATTTCATATTTAATTGAACCGCATCGACAAATTTAGTGTAATCATTTGTTAGCGTTTGCAATAAAAGGGAATACAAAAGTCTTTGTAATCTAAACAGTCCTGTCTATGTCACCACTTCGGAAACATTTCCCACTACACAACCTTAACAATAAGAACTTGTTTGTTCCTTATTTGATATTTAAAATTTCAACAAAAATGCACTAGAATCAAACAAATTGTGCAAATCTGGCTGTAACTAAGGCTGTTCCAAAATACCTCTGTGCTTTTGGTTCATTAAAAGCATAGCTAATTTTATTTAAGTCTCGAAACCACTGCAATGCACTTGGACTGCCCCAAGGATTAGATAAATTTGTAAGCCTAAATGAAAGCACTTATTTCTTAGCATGACATCGGATCGGCAAGCAGTTCATCATGAGGATTTTCAAGTCGCAATCAAAACGAAATGAAACCTACCCGTTTGAGTCAGTGAGACTTTTGTTGGCACGCTTTTTATGTATTTCAACCGCTTTAGTTACAAAAGTCTGTTCATTACATTGAGTAATGAGGGCTTTTTCGTGGCGGGAAATTGAACAGGTTTCCAAAATGGGGCGACTGACGGACTGTTTTGGTGTTTAGGTTATGCAACTAAATAGGAGCTTGGAACTTGCATACAAAAAAATAGCTGAATTGAGTAATGTCAAGTCCGATGCAAACTCCAAAGGACCACTGCAGTCATCACGAGCTGACGGGCCAAAGGCAGGTCGTGCAGACGTCTCCGCAGACCTCCGCTACATGCCAGAGGGCAGTGGCTTGACAACGACCCAAAAGGGGCTGCTACTTTCACTTGCGAGCGATGCAGAGTCATCGGATGAATCTGAACCCGAGGAACCGGCCCCTGGGGATTTTGTAACTCGCACAAACTATTCAACTTTGATGGCTAAGGGCGAAAGACAACGTGGGGAAGATGAAGAGAAGTCCACATTTTTTTATGCTACCCCTTATGCCAATGAGGGCAAGCCGGTAAGTGAGCAAGGCGTAAAGTTGAAGGTTGGAAGCTCACATAATCGCCTAGGTGACGTGCAAAGGACTCAGTTGCCTGTGGTTGTCGACTTAGTACTGTCCATTGGGTGTGACGCTGGGGGAACTAAGTCTGCTGACTCCATCGGACGGCTCTAAATTGGTGCCTAGTAGTCTGGGGTGCTGCGGGTTATTTAATTTGGGTTAGGAATCGAAGCCGCAAGAGAAGCTCAGTACCAGCCAAATTAATGATTTATTTGGTGTAAAATTGCTTAAATGCCTTCCTGGATAACTTACACGTGTTAGCTCTGCTGCCATTGAGGTATTTTGTTTACCTCATTGGGAACTATTTTGATAGAATTCCAATGGAATTGGTATGAAACTCAATGGCACAGATCTTCTCGAGAAAGCTGCAATCAAGACAAACCGACTTAACACACGATGGCTTAGTCTAGCAATGCATGTCTTCAATGTTGCATAGTGTGAAATATGAAATATTTGTAAATCCACATTTGCCCGATCCTGACCTAAGTGATAAGTGAATTTACACGTTGAATTTCTCAGAACTGGTTAAACGAAAACGGGGAAATCCAAATCGTGCCTGTTGAAGCCATTCTGTGCGATTCAATTCGTAAAAAAATTGAACAACGCGAAGAAGGTAAGTACGATTACTACAGTAATGCGAAGGCAAGTATAATGGTGCTGCATTGCGGTTTTATTGACATAATTTATCAGCATTCATCTGCATAATATCATGCAATCGCTGCCTATTTGTGATTATGATACAATTTAATGCTTAGTGCGACTCACAATTATTTCAAAGAAACGCTCATTGCGTGTGATTACATATGTGTTGGTTTACTTTGAATGGGCATTTCTTTTAAGACAGCAGCAAAATTTATATCTGCAATATGCAACCTTCCTAAAGCAATTATTTTCAACATACATATCCCCTGACCATGTTTGTTTTATGTTCACATAGGTACCAAATGAAAACGTACCCCCAGACTTTATGGTCAGTTCTTGCAGCTAAAGAATAATTTCTCCTGGACACTCAAGGACGATGTTCATTTTGTTTGAATTGAATTTTAAAACTCACAATGGCAATATAGTGTTCCGCAAGCTAGAAATATCAGTCCAGACAAACAATAGCTGCTTCGTGTACGCTGTATCCGATATTTGCGCATGTATAAATTACATTAGAGTTTGCTTTTGACCAGAGTTAGCATCTTACCAATGACCCCACTAACCTTACTTAGTAATAATAATAATGAGTAATCATAGATTGAGTGTTAACATAAGCACTTAAATCGATACAAGTTTGCAAACAAAACTTATACCAAAAATCAACATCCCCAATTCGTTGTAAAAACTGTTCAGTTTTGGAGATTTTAAATAATTCAACATATTTAGTGAGAAGCCTTTTATTGTACTTTATGAGCACTTAGGAACGAGAGGGTAAAATGAGTTAAGCAAATCCTATCACTGCCGTATATTGTAAGTTCGTTTTAGTGGTAGAGAAATAATGCAGAATACTAGTAAGAAGAATAGCTAGTTGTTAGCTAACTCACTTTTGGTACTTGTGTTTGCCCTAAATTTCTATTTTCTGTAGAATACCAGAGCCCTAGTATGAAGAAGACTGGTACAACAGATCACGCTTTATTGACCAATTACAAGCCAGAATTACACGCCATCGGGAATTTAGCGCTGACCTATTGGATCCCGATGGCTTGCGGTTTTGGTTTGAGATTGGTCAATAAATGCTGATCTGTTGTAGCAGTCTTCCTCATAATAGGGCTTGAGTATTCTACAGAAGATAATAATTCAGGGCAGAACACAAATGTCAAAAATGCGTTAGCTTTAAATGGATGTTTCAATCCACATTTATTGTACTACACCTTAAGTCTAATCAAACGAATACTTTAATATTTTTAAAATAGGGATATATGTTTTAGTAAAACCACCCTTTCATCTTCCTGTCATGAGAACAGTTGAGCATTGAAGAATAATACATTCAGAAAAGCATATATTTACTACAATATACCGTTGATTATATGCCATCAACCGCAAAGTTGATTTTTTAACAACAACCTATCTAACATAAAGGGAAAATAAACTTTAAGAATAATTTGAAGTCTAAAAGTGCACGTTTAAAGAATGGCGAGCAAAAAAATTTAATGAGGCGGGCTGGATAGATGAGCGAAGTGGCCTTCCTGAAAATCAACAAGAACAATAGTCCTCTGTTAACTAAGGGTTCTAGGTACGCTCCTGCTGATTGTGGGACATCAAAGAACGTTGTGCAGGATATTTTATTATACGGACCTTGTGATAGTGTAAAGAAGCTAAGGGCAACTTTTCGCCTAAGGAGAGGCAGTGTAGTACCTCACTAGGGCACAGAAATATTAAATCCCACCAATCTTGTTCAATTTCTTATTCTTGTAAGCTTGCATAGTCAACGCTAAAAGCCAGCAATTAATTTAAGATTACGATAAATAGGAAGCATCATAGAAAGAGCAGGACAAACAGTATGCGGACATGAACGAAAGGAGTCTAAAGGAAGGTTCTGGATTGTAGTCGTTCAAAAAATCGAACTGTGGTGCTGTGTAGCTGAATGAGCAATAAACTGAGCAGTTTTTTAAAGTTAAATAAAGAAGCCATATAAGAGAAGAATTACAAACCGATGAATTTGTCAAAATGACATTTATGAACCGGATTTACATTTTTCACATTCAATAGCATTTAATATGATTGAACTGACAACAATTAAATACACAGTCACCAGAATATTGCCACGCTCATTTCGGAATTACAGTGGGTCATCATAATAGGCTTGGAATGATATTTACAGGATTCAATTGATTTAAATAATTTAGCTTCAATAAACGTACCTTAGTAACTTGATATTATTCCCCTACAGCATTTTGTCCATCATATGACAAAAAATATAATAGTTGCTTAGTAAGCTGCAATTATGACTCTCTGAGTTAGGCAGACTTAATTTTAATCTGTAAAGGCAAAATGAAATAATCGGATTTGAAGTGACTGCTTTTGGTATTTCTAGAATGGAGAAAATGTAATCATTTGCATTTTTAGTTCCATTTTAGTAATAATTTGACAAAAATAAGGATTTCGAGTCGAAATTCTAGTGAAAGTGCATTTTCTGAAAGCTTCAAACAATTGGGTTATTGTGTGTTCTGAAGATTCAAAACCAAAGTCCTTGCTTCAAAATTTTCATAAGTATACCATATATTATTTTAAAATTTCGAACTGATAGAATCAAATCAATATGTCAGTGTTTGAACTTTATGAAAATTCGTTTATGTAATCGAAGTAGCGGACCGCTTATTTCGTATCACCTCGCATTTTGATTGTTGCCTGTTTTTTCGCATGCGTCATGGTCGAGGACTTTAAGAGCCTTGAAACTGGAGTTCGGCCCAGAGGTCTTCTTATGAGAAATAATACTCACTCGGATCTGATTAAGTTCAAAGAAGCTAAGCATGAATTGCAAAAAATATTCGCTGAAATCGAAACCTATATTCATGAATGCCAACAGTTTTTTAAAGAAAAGCTATCAGAGGATACGGGTAAGCGGCTTTCACCAGCGTTTGGGAATACTGGAGCCGACATCGTTTCGTTTATCGACAAAGTCAAGCAAATACAGGGCATCATTTCTCGCAATCAGATGAAATGTGCTTTTTTCGGCAGGTGGGGATCATTTTTGCTTTATTATTGAGTATCAAAATTAAATAACGACATTATGTTGCAATTTTCAATGAAGTAATAGTTTGGTAAGCCTTACTTGTTCATGTCACTTGTTTACCGTTATTAATTCGTTCAAATCTTCTCAATCGATTAAGATTTTGGAAATCATTCTGCACGTTTTCCTCACGTCTGCATGCATAAATTTTTCAAAAATTTTATGTTTAACGATGTATTTTACTCCAGAATGTGCGTTATTTAAATTGAGTTAAAATATGTTGAAGCTAAATCGCCTTATCTACTCGGGTATCTTTGTGATGTTTGGAGTCTTTAGACAACCTTGATTAGAACCTTAGTCACGCTTTTTGTTAAGTAATACTGGTGTCTAGTGGGTACATTGGGACGGTTGAGCTTGATTCACCTGTCGCTGCAGAATTTCGGGTAAGTGGCCTTGAATGTTGCGTCATTTTTCTCTTTTACAAAGTAGTTTTTGCTCTTCGACTTCACATCACTGCCCGATTTTGCGAAGTTTCTTTGTTACTAATTTCCAGTGCTTTTTGCTTATCTCTGATCGCCTATTTCGGATCCCCTATGTCAGTGTTCATAATCTAAACAATCCTTCGAAGTTTATCGGTGGGTATTTGGTATTCATCAGCCATTTAGTCTATTAATGTGGCTCAAACTTTCGGTAACTTCTATAACCTTAATGTAAAGGCAAACTTTTTGCCCATGGAATGTTCGTGACGCGTGTTGTCATTTGTTAACCTCATTTCCCATTCGTTGCAGTGATTATGCGCCGTTGTAATACGACCACACACATACGAAAATGGGCGGTTTTTTGTGTGGTTGAATTCTAATTCAGTCTCAAAGACATCTCGTAAACTTTCTTGAAGGCCTTTGATCGATGCGTTCAAGCTTATATTGCTGTTCGTCTCCTTCGACAGATTTAATTGAGTTATCTGTGTGTCTAGCAACACTTAAATCTCTTCGTATTCATTGTATTCTGTCTCGTATAACTCAGATTTTTCCCGTGCCTTAGAACATCTAACGGCAAGAGCACAGTCATAAATGCAATGTTGGGCTCCCGAATCCTACCTTCTGGTATTGGGCATACCACTAGTTGCTTCGTACAAGTACAGGGGACCAGTGAGAGCCAGGGTTTTCTTCAACAAGAATCTGTTTCCGACTCCACCTCAAACTCTGAAGCACAGTCTCTTTCAGAGGTATAGTAGGGACCTATTCACGGCTAAGTTCTCCACAGTCTTCAATAAAGCTCGGTCTTCTTAACTTTCAGCCACAGTCTATTGAATCTGTTAGCCAGTTAGCCCACTCATTGAGTTCAGCAAAACTGGCTACTGACTCGCTAATATACATCTATTGGCCAAGTTCGAGTTGTCATCTCCTTCGTGAGGATGTGGTCCTCCTAGATAGTCCGGGAGTGAACGTTGACCCTGACATGGACTCTTGGATCGACCGACACTGTTTAGACGCCGACGTCTTTATCCTCGTCGCAAACGCAGAGTCTACGTTGATGCAGGCAGTAAGTCAGGCTTGTCCTAATTTTGAACTGTGCTAATGTGTGACTCGACTCATTTGAAACATTTATGTGTATTGGTTATGCGTTTTTAGTCGCACTGCATTCTGTCTGTACCGTTTTATGCTGCCCGAAATTTCAATAAATTAAAGTAATAACCGTTTATTATCGCTTGCGACCCTTCAATTGTGCTATATAAATGGAACAGAATTTCATCACAATCTTAAAACTACTCAAATTGTAAACCATTACTTGGGATGCAGAAGACACTTTTTTCCTTCTCTCCTTGTTGGCCATACCACAATTGCTAGGAACAAATTGAGGTTATAGACATCTCAAGTGAGACAAGTCGTGAGGTAGAAAAGAAAGCGTACGCGTTTGTCAATGGTATCGGGTGTTAGCGTTTGCTTTACCGTCAAGAAACGGAGCCAACAGGTCTTTTTCCTTGCTTCGTACTTTTTTTGTATTTCGGTTTATGATACCTGGAATTATTTCTGGCCTTAAAGCAATCCTTCAGTGCGAAGGCATTCGTTTGACCCCATGCTAAATTTCTGTCTGATAATTTCGAAACCCCATCTGAGTGCCGCTGTTGAGTTTGACTTACTCTAAATGTACAGGAGTGTATCTGTGGTTACTTCACATTCAAGTTTTTGCAACTCAGGAAAAGGACTTCTTCTATCGTGTCAGCAGTCGGATCTCCAAACCGAATATCTTTATTCTAAACAATAGGTGGGACGCCTCGGCAGGTGAAGCTGAACTAGCAGATCAGGTGCGTTCGTTTCCCATGATGCACAAGTCTAGTCCGCACACGTTTTCGCAAGCTTTTCCTTTAAAATTATCATTACGCTGGCAAGATGTATGGGTCTTCGGGACTTTGTCATATACTGGAATTCGCTAACGAAGTGTTTAAAAAACTACTGCGAAGAACCTGAACCGATTGAACGTACCCACGATTTCTGTTTATTTCAAGCCCTCATTTTACATTGTTTCTAGGTCCTTAAAACATGTGGCAAAATTACCCATCTTTAAATTTCAATTAATTAACAAAGTAGAACTTATGAACTGTTGAAAATTGTGGTGGCGTAGTCTTATGCCAAGTGCCAATACGCCAAAATTCCATTTAAAATAAACGTTCGATTAGCATCATGTTGATGATACGAAATACAGATAAAGTAGATGGGCATAGATGTATTACTGTTTGCCGATAAATATTATCCATTGACACAATTAGCCTGTGCATTTTATTAGCCCCGTGTTTATGAAGATAAAAGAATACCAAGATCCAGATGCATCAAAAAGGTGATTGTCGCTATCTCGCTCTCGAACTTTGCTCAGTATTTTACATGCGTTACATTGGTCCGCGTGGAAACCTATGTAATCAACTGTGCTTGTTTGGCTATTTAATTCAACCAATGATTCAAAATGTCGTCTAGTAAATTTTTTATTCCAAGCTCACCTTACAATTTGGAAAGGCGTTTTAGTATTGCGTATAATCGTGCGTTCACGAGTTGTAACCCAAGTTAAGTGTTAGGGTGTGTCGAAGAAGGTCTATCAGAGTCAAGTCAGTTATTAGCGGCCGTTTGGATGTACTTTCTGACATGTTGGCCCTCGATAAAGCATAAAGTGGTGTTTAGGTTCAATTTTTAATTGTGCCCCGAATTAATACTTTTAAGCAAAAATAACCATTCCCATAGAGGCTCTTTCAAATGGATTTTTTGGCAGTGCGCGTGTATTTCGTTGCTATTTCAAGCTTGTAAAGCAGGTGTAATTTGTGCTAACTGTTTTTTTTCAAATCGTTTTATCGTTTTTGATTGAAGGTAAAAGAACAGCATATGCAACGATGTGTCTCCTTCCTGACCGACGAGTTAAAGGTGTGTAGTGTAGAGGAGGCAATGGAACGGATCTTCTTTGTATCCGCTCGAGAGGTCCTCACGATTCGGTCAAAGTCGGTAAACGGTGAGACCCCGCCTGGCTCAGCTCCCAACATCGGCTCCCCATCTGCTCGTGGTTAGTTTGTCATTCAAGTAGTTGATTTAAGAACAACCATGCCTTTCTTGAGATTACGGCCCACCTCCACTTCTGGTAGTTAAACGTCTCCGATTTCTGTCAATTCCCTGTTAAAAATTGTCGACAAATTAGCTGAAAAACCACCTTCTGTTTGACAAATGCCTTTTTTATGTGGCTTTTGTTAGCAGACCAAACGGTGAGCCTTTTTCCAATTTAGATGGGGTTGCAGTGAGTCTAATATAATGCCGATTGAACGTTTTTGTGATTCAACTTTAAAACTTTGTTTCACTTTTTCACCGGTTGTTTTTGTCAGCTGTGTTTGCGGATGTTCCACAAAGGTGATATTGTGTGCTAGAGACAGGGCCACCTTTCTTGCGGTTCGACTTGTCATCTGATTGTTGTATTCCCTTCATCCTATAGGCTATCCGCTTGCGGAAGGCTGGCAAGCCCGACTGATGGAATTCTCGATGTTCGAGAAGGTTTTCGAGGTAGGGCATTGTTTACTTAAGGTATACTCGCACACCAAAAGCAATCAACTACTTTAGTATCAAAACTTGGGACTTTGCTAGAGGCTCAATTCCGTGCCTGGACTTCTCTCTGTCCTCCTGAGCGTTGTTTTGCTTTCGCTGTCTAAAGACGACTAAACTTTCTTCGCAGGTGTTATTCATTTAAATTGTTCGGATTGTATTTGTGTACTGTTGCATCGCCCGTTTTGTTGGCTGCTAATACGTCATGATTCACAGTTGGCAACGTTATTGCGTCTAAAATGTGTGATTTTCGCAGAATTCCACGGCGACGTTTAGGTTTGCGCGATAAAAACTCGTTCGAAAGAGGTGTTATTTTCTGTTCTCCTTTTTGACGCCCATTTGAAAAGGTTGTATCTGCTTGCCGAATCTCCGAACGGCCTCGTTCGCGGCCATTCGTGTATCTGGTCACGTCGGTAGTCCCGTCTCTGGGCCATTCCACAGTAACATCTCCTTACTGTCATTACTTTTTGTCCACTCGGATCTTTATAAATGCAACGCGTCTTGAGCATTTTTCTCGTTAAAAAAATCTACCAGGGGTCGTAACGATACAGTGCTGCCCCCATTCCGCTTGATATTCTCCAACCAGTTGTTGTGTTTGTACCTCTCAACCATTGGTACAATTTCAGCAACATTTTGTTCATATTATTATAGAAAATTTTGTCGGAGTCGGCAACGCGAACAAAATTTGCCTCCCATACTGAGCAGGGCAAAGAAATGGCCGCATATTTTCGCAAACTCATGGAAACAACATACGAGGCCGGTTTGGAGGAAAAGTAAGGTCGTTTGTCTGTCCTCTGACCGAATCTGCAAATACCGTCGACTTGTGTGTTTTGACTCGGTACTATGCGCTAAATTAAACGGGTAAACGTGATTTTAGTGTTCCTGATTTTCTTGTACAAATTATTTGCAGATATTTTACACAAATTATGTTTTATTAAATGAGGTCCTACACACGTCGCCATTTTTTAAACAACTTCACCGATCGTCCGCCCTGTCCAGTAAATCACTTTGCCTGCAAATGCGCCAACCGAAATAAAGTAGCAAACACCCATGACGCTATCGTGTACCATGTCGCTTTTGCCAAACTGAAAGAGACGGCGGTATAGCGCTGAATTCTCAAGGCCACCATCAGCCTCAATGCTAGCTCATGCTAAGTGGCTTCCCCGTGCATTTCTATTCGTGTGAGCTGCGTGCTTGTGCACACATCAGTACCGGAACGTTACGCGTATTTAATTGAGATAACCAACGTGAACCTAACATATTCTGTTCATTCTCTCGCATTATCTTTCAAAATTAGCTGTACTTTGTAGGGACGCGGCCATCCGTTATCGTCGATTGTCCCAGGCTCGTCTGGAGGAGCTTCGCACTAAGCTGCAGAAGGCGACACAAACTATCGACGACCTCATCTCCAAATCCCTGCTTGATGTGGAGGGTCAGGTTGCGAACGCCTTGTGCAACGAGATCAGGCGTCTCGGGGAGCTAGTGGACAGCTTCGGCGGACACACCTTTTCTCCGGATAATGAGGCGGCCTTGAAAGCGTACAAAATCGAGTTGAATTCTTTCATTGAACGCGAACTGGGCAAGAAACTCGCTGACGCCTGTGCCGGCGACATACATTCCCAAGTTGTTCGCGCTGAGCAGATCATGGCTGGTGAGTATTTCTAGCAGTGCAAACGCTATTGATGTACAACCAAAATGACGGCGAAGCCTTATTAATTTTCGAGGCACTTGCTATTATCAAATGCTGCTGAATTGCTGTGACTGCTTAGCACTTGCTTCCTTGACCTCATTTCTAGCATCGTCTTGTCTAGCCCACGTTCTTCCTTCTGGCGTTTCTTTAGGTATCTATAGCTCCATGTTGACTGAAGAGGCTGCTAAGAACAGGATAATGCATAGCGTATTGTCGAGTTCCTTCGAACCAGAGTTCCATGTCGATTGTCGGAACATATGCGCCGAATTTCGGGAGAATCTGAAATTCCGCTTCAGTCTCGGCCTTTCCTCCCTGGCTGAACGCATTCTTCACCACCAGCGCTATTCCTCAGGCTCACTGTGGGCTGGTGGTTATGTGAGTCACAAATTATGAATTTTTTTGGGACAGCATAAATTCAAGCAAACCTTTCATTCATGCACTTTGAAGAGGTGGTGCGGATGTTCGCTTGTCTGTGGTTTGCACATTGATGACCTTGTATGACCGCGCTTTGCGAAAAATTTTACATCAACCGCGTTGTGCCTCAGCCTCGGTGCAGAGAGTTGTCCGAATTTCGCTGGTTGGCTTGATGAGTCAGAGTCCAGTTAAAGTGGGACACCAAACTTAT